GTCCAGTTTTTGTATTGTTTTTTGTTTTCCTAAACTATTCATCTGATTTGTTTCAGTTTCAGTGAACTTCTCAGAATTTGACGTTGAACTTTTAGAAATTCTACATTCCCAAACTTACAGTGGCATTACAAAAAACACAAATGGAGCAATTCTTAAGCGATTCTCTACATGTAGCCATCTGAAAATGTCCCAGAGAGAAACGCTTCCCAGAGAAGGTTGAAAATGCGCTCAACTTCATCACAAAAAGAAATACCATTAGCAAATTAATAACAGTAAATAGATTATCGGTTTTCCTATTCACCTGGAATTTTCAAGCACTATATTATAAAAAGTGCACATGATTGTAGAAGTCCAGGGCTCATACACATTTTTCAGGGTCAAAATCAAGCACTTTTTAAGCACTTTCAAGCTTTTCCAGCCCATTACCAAAAAAAAAAAAAGAATGCATGTTTCACCTCAGTAAGGCCATGTAAAAATTAAAACAAATCATTTTAGGTTGACTTAAATGTCCTTTGTTCCCCTTTTGTTAAAACATAGAAAAATGCACCACAGACAAATACTGAAAAAGGAAATGGTGCAATATGCATATAGTGTACAAACTCAAAAAACACATTTCTCTTAAAAATTAAGACTTGCAAATGTGAACAAATCAACTTGTTAAAGATATCATCTCCACTTGGGAAAAAACAACAACAACCCCACAAAACAAGAAACTGCACCAAACACCACATTAATACACAGCAAGGCCAAATTAATAAGTCTTCTCATCAGATATTGATGCTTCTTTACTATGTGACACAAAAAAATAGGAGACAGATGTTTTTTTTAACTAGTTAAGCACCCACTCCCACAAAAATGGGGGCAAAAGGGAGGAGATCACGTTTAATCAGTTATAACACAAGGTCAGAAATACAAGTGCCGAAATGAGCAGTGTCCACAGAAACCTCTGAATCTCAGCTAAAATCTCATATAAACCATTTCTACAAACACCTAACAAAGCAAAGACACCAAACAGTTAAAAGAGCAGTTACGTCACCATGAATCTGTGGACAGGTAATATCCATTACCCATACGAACCCTGGAAGTCACTCCCAAAGAGTCTGGCTAATTTTTCAAGAAGTCAAAATGTTCTTCCCATTTAAAGAATTTCTCCATACAGTTGCCCAAATACTTGTATGTATTAGCCTGTTGTATTGTGCAACCATCAATTACAACTGGTTCCTATGCACATACACCCCTAGGATTGAATATAATTTCTTTAGTTTTATCAGTACTGAAAATAAGACAATGACTGTTATACTACACTTTAAATAATTAAAATGAATTAATTATTGAACTTAATAACCAAATCATTAGTCTTCTTACCTCTACAATCATAGGTATACAAGGCTGAAAAGGACAGGAGAACTCACTGCTCCCTGTACTGTGTCATTCACCTTCGCCTGTCATTCACCTGTATCTCTCTCTTCACGTGGTGTGCTTCTTAACTCTAAATATTTGACACCATCAGCTGCAAACTCTTTGATAACATCTGTAGCCACCTGGCAGGAAAACAAAAACATCAATTACTTATAAATATCCTTAGAAACACTTTGACTAAAAGAAGCTCGACACTGTTTTGAGTCAGGCCTTACCATCAGGATATCCTCCTCAGTGTCCACCAACTTGTGGATGACCCTGAAGACTTCAAAGCACCTGCAGAGACCCAAGGACATAGTGTTTTAATCTTAACCCGTTTATCAACGTCTCCCAGACAGCTCATTCTGTCTACTTAAAATTAGCTCAACACATGCTTTTTCTTGTCGTTTCTTTTCTTTTTTTATCAAATAAAAAGTAGGGTTTAAACCCTGCTGGGTTTCATATGAAATTGTCAATGAATTACAGACGCACTCATCCAGAGTCCTCCGCTGTCCTTTGCCGATGGCAGTCATGCTGTGTTCAATGTTGAGATGTGGCTTTCGGCTGATGAGCTTCTCGATGGTTTGCTCGCTGACAGAACCATTGAGGTGAGCGTGAAGCTCCTGGTAACAATCAAAACGCTGACGTTAGCATTTAGTTAGCTTACACGTTAAGCTTCTCTATACATTAACCGCCCTTACTCTCTACAAACACCTTCAAATTACTAACTTTATAAGCCTCTGTTATTCACGTTAGGCGGTTGACTTACCACTTTTGGCAGCTCCCGATAAAAGACATCATTGTCCATCACAAAGTAAAGGCAATCCGCGAGCAAGTCTCTGAGCTCCGAGCTGTTTGCTGCTTTTACAAACCTTTGTTTTCAGTCTACATTTACCCGGAACACCATCAGTGCAACCAAGAAATAATTCCCCGGCTGCTACTGCAGCGGTCAGGGTTCCGCTAAAGACTTACTTTCTACATAAGATAAACGACTTGTATTTCCTCCTTTCTTTATTTCCTTTTATGGTAAAAATTTAGAATCGCAAAGTCAATCTGACAGCAAAACATTGTTTTCCAATTTAAGAGAACATTCAAATTATTTTAACCATTATTTTGCCCTCCTTAAGTGTGTCAGCTGTCGGTACATTGTTATAGCTAATTGTATTCTCTTTCATCACTTGATGGCAATGTCTCATTATTCAAGAAAGTAGCAATATCAAACAAATTTATAGTCATTAAAATATACTCAGAGGATCACGTGCCCATTTCTGAATGGGAAATTAAAGACATAACCGGTGCTGTATATATGCATTTAAAACATGTAGCTTCTGTGGAGCAAATTTCTTTTTTGTATGGGATGTAGATTTTTTTTTCAAAAGTAATGGATCGTAGTTTATTATTGCTGCATAGATAATGAGTATCTTCAAAAAGTCTTCAAATACATCCAGTGAAATAGAAAATAGCAACTTACAATTTAAAAACTGTTAAACTTTTAATATAATTTCAAAAGAATGTTAAAAAAAATTCTTCAGAAAATATTTTCAAAAAGGTTTTTTTGTTTGTTTTTTTATTGTTGAAAACGACAGTACAGTACAAGTATTAACATTCTCTGTTTCTCTTTCTGACAAAATCCTGATAGTTTGCTCAAATCCCAAAAAATTGTCTGATAAAACATTTTAGGATGTCAGATGAAAAACCTTTTCCTTTTCGACTCATGGGAGGATGAAAACGTAGTCATAAAACATTTAATATCATACAAGAGAAAAAAGATAAAGTTGGACAATTATTATTCTTTCTTTGAAATTTTGTCCTTTAAGCAAAAAAAATCCAACATTCATGCAAAAATGGTGTACCTGATATCATTAGGAGAAAAATTCCCCAAAAAAGACAATGACGTATCAAAATTGCAATTCTACTATTGAAGCATCTTTCAGTTTTAAACAGATTCAGTCGGCTGAGTCAAATTAAGTTACTTTTTACAGGTTCGTGAAAATAAAAGGACACTACCTTTACGTTAAGGATATTGATGTAAAGGACAAAAAAAGACGTGGAAGCACGTCAAGGCACTGGTTCTGAGGCAGCACTGTGTTCTAAGGACAGACTTGTTGATGACAGTTAATCATTCACTCTGGATAACAAAGTGCAAGAAGACGAGATGAGACAAACCTGATGGCGCCACTCGACTAAGAAAGTCATTGCAGTCTGAACAACCTGATGTTTGCTAAAAAAGCACTAGAAAACAGTATTTGTTGTGAATTTTGCCAAATTGTACAGTCCTTGTGAGATTTTTTTTTTTTAATTCCACAGTTATGGTCTCAGTGGTCAAAATGAAAAAAAGAGGATCTATGTTGTGTCTGTTTTGTCAGATCCCTCATTGTCTTTTTCCCATCCCTTGGGTGATATGCTGAAGCCACTCTTTCAACATCTGAAAACTTGGTCGGGCGGCGGGATCCAGGTTCCAGCACTGTTTCATGATGTTATACACGACTTCAGGACAGCCGTCAGGACAGTCCATTTTGTAGCCTTTCTCCACTCGAGGCACTACATCCTTTAATGGCTACAGAAAAGACCAGATTTGTTTGTTGAACATTTTGGTCCTTTAAACCTAAGGCTTTACTCATAACACATATATGGATGTTCGAGAGCGATCATAGAGTACCATCATTATTGATTTTGAATTTTAAAAATGAATTGTTTTCTTAATCCAAAGCTGTTATTCCAGCATATTTTTTATGCACAAAAACAAACTGATACTTACAATTCTCGGATAAGGAACTCGGCCAAAAGAATAAATCTCCCACAGCAAAATACCGTAGCTCCAAACATCTGATTTGGTGGAAAATTTCTAATGACAAATAGAAAAAAAAGGATATTAAGAGTTTATTTCACTATGACTAAACTATGCACGGCAAAGCACATGGCTCAGAACAGCTCTAGGGCAGCGCACCTTTTCTCTCAGTGCTTCAGGTGCCGTCCACTTCACGGGGAGCTTAGCGGTATCCTGAGTGGAAGAGGCCTCCTTGGTCAAGCCAAAATCACTGACTTTAGCCATGTTGTCCTCTGACACGAGAACGTTTCGTGCGGCTAAGTCTCGGTGAACAAAGTTATTGGTCTCCAGATACGCCATGGCTTCACAGACGTCTCTGTGAAAGTAAAAGAAAAAGTAACAAACGCTGGGCTCAGGCGTGTCGAATCAACTTTTTGTCATGGTATGAAAATAAAAAAAATTAAAAAATTAAATAAATGAAACTACTATAACTGATTTCTACCATTCAGTGGGAAGATAAAAGGGCCTTTTAAGATAATAAAATAACCCTTTTATCTGCTAACCGCGTTGTCTTTAAATATATGGGCTATGTGGTCCTTTAAAGAATACCTGATAAAGATTTAAATTCGAATAAACATCAACCACAACTTTAACCTCTATTCTATAGACTCATGAGATATAATCTGCTCTTTGTGCTGCAAAATATGCCCTTCTTTAGAGCTGAATTTCCTCCCTCTCTGATCACTAGCTATTGCAACACCGCTCTGCTAATACTAATATAGCATAAAACACAACAGAATAACTGCCGAAATAGTGGTTCGCTGCAGAAATACTCACAATGCAAAATGTAGGAGAGCTTCTCCACCAAGTACTGTCCGGCCTCTGGAACGTAAATAGTCAACCAAACAGCCCTAACACCAACAACAAAAGCATGTTATATGTTTTATACAGAGTATTCACCACGTCGGGAGATTATCAGACACTCAGCCACCTACCTTTGCCATATACTCAGTAACTATAAAAAGACTTCCGTTCTCTTCCACAATCACTCCAAGCAGCTGTACCAGGTTATCGTGCCGTAGTTGCCTGATGAAGGGGACAAGCAGAGCAGTCAGTACGCGTCCATTTATGTTTCAAAAACGCACCAGAACAAATGTTTAATTTCCTTACGTCATGACCGAAGCCTCTGCAATAAAGGCCTGCGCTGTGGCGTCATTTTTGATGCACTTCACAGCTACTTTGGTCCCTCTGTAGTCTCCCACCATCACATCTGAATAATCACAAGCAATGAACTGATCAATGAAGCCGCCTTTATACGACCCCAAACCAACAGTAAGACGGCAACGCGGCAAATGACATGTTCACAGCAATTAAATTTGAACAGTTTTCTAACTTTTATGTCGATTACAAGGAGAAGAACAGTCCATATATGAACCTCATGGTACAATCTCATGGTTTTCACAGTAATGAAATGAAATTTAGTGGTTCAGCGACGAGGAATATTTAATATTTGGGGCTTAAATGTCTTTTTAGGCAAAATCCTTTACACCCAAATGCAGCATATGATGCGTCACATCTTTATGTTGCTCTGATTTCTGTTTCATGCAAGCAATTAAGACTGGGCTTAAAAGTTTAAACTCATGTTGAGTAAACATGAACCCTAATCTACTTACCTCCAAATTCTCCTTTTCCAATAACCTGCTGCAGTTTGAGGTCTTTTCTGCTCAACGACCAGCCGCCTGTTCATCATTGAAAGTAGAAACAGAATTCAGCTGAGACGCAAACAAGCTTTTGATCATCAAGAACAATAAATAAAAGAAAAATGAAAATAATAATAAAAATCCACAATGTCCCTGCTGCACAAGTTACAAAGAACCGGCAAGCTTACTCCTGGAAAATTCATCCTGCGCAGCCACCGTCCCTTCCTCCAGCTTTGGCTTGATTAGTTTGGTGCAGAGGCCATCAGCATCTTTGGTGTAGTGCTACATAGAATAAGAGATAAAATAAAGTGCACATGGCCTCATAAGAGCAAAGGAATTTTTACCATGACAGAAACTATCAGAACCACATTCAGAGCTTCAAAGCAGCTTTAGTATTTTGGAAAGAAAATTCCCCCTTCATTTATTTGCAGAAAAAAAGCTCAAACCAATTTGAATAGCAACTTTCACTCTGCATCATCTTTTAGAGGATTGGTTTAGAGCAACTAATGAGTACAGCTGTGGGTTTCACTACTTATCTTTGTCCTTCTTATATTGCTTGTGGGTGCTGTAGCTGTATTTTAAAAGAAACTGAAGCTTGAAGTTTAAACCTTTGTGAACTTCTGTAAAAAAAGCATGAGTAAAACTCATTGAGTAGTGTATACCTGTGACCAATAGAGGGCTGCCTGGTCAAATACGGTCAAAACCACATGCAATAGGGGACTGAAAAGCTTCAGTTGGCCAGAACTTACACAGAATAAATAGTATGTTGCTGTTCAAAATAAGCATTTCACACAGGAAAAGCAGTCATTTTGAGAGTAAAGACCTAGTATCTGTTTGAGGTTAGAACTCTGAACCTCAGCATACTGTTCACTTCCTCTTTGATACTTCCTGTTCATTATATGTTCCAGGAACTGCACAGACTCTCTGAAGTAGCACAGTAACATGGGGAGGCTAAAACATGCTTACAGTAGACTGATGCTCAATATAGCCTCCTAGAAAATATCAGAAACACTTTGTTTTATTTAGAAATCAAAGCCCAGTTTGCGCCTTACCTCTACAAGCTGCATGAGGTTTTCAAAATAGACCTCTTCATCGATGGTGAGCTTGCCGTTGTGGTAGATAATGCGATAGTGCTCCACCTTACCGTCGCAGCTCACACACAGAGTGTAGTCGCCAGGGAAGTTAGTGCTTTCCCGCACCAAGAACAGGCCTGTCTCAGGGGGGTTAAGCAACCGCTCCGCCTGATCCCGAGTTATCTTGCCATGAAACCACCTGGTGGAAGAGGTAGCCAGAAATCAGCACACCAACAAAACCAACAGATCAGCTCAGCAACTCCAAATTCACATCAGCTGTATGTACACGTGACATATCCAATAACAACATATAGACTGTGCCTGCATCCATTCTACTGTCTGCATCAATCGTTAACAAACATTATTAGTTAAATGTCTTCCTCCTATTTTACCCACTTGGATCCAGTCATTCTTAAACTGGGTCTTTTAAAGCCTTTGATGGTTTGATCGTGCATTTCATTTTACGCTTGACTTTTTTTTAGTTGTTACACTGTCACGTTCCTTCTTTTTTACAAACATATATATTGTAAGTAAGTATATATATTTTGTGCATTTGGGAGAAAACAACTGTAACCTTGATGTTTCCCTTTCTGTTACTGTTCATACACTATTTTCCATTTAAAGCCACGGCACCAGTGTCTGCTGAACAGATTACATTTATTATTTTTTAAAAAAATGTATTTGGGTATTGTGGTTTTCAGTGTAACCGCTATATTAAGAGTCGGGATTATAAATAACCACATTCAGTAAACTAACTGGTTCTCGCAGCGCATTCTTACACGCTAAAAACTGCCTTAAAGTTTGGCTGGTCCATCAAAGGGAAGTTACACTAGCAGGCCTTAATATCAAAGTTTCTTTCTCTCATGCTGACAGGTGTGTTTTGCTCATAGGTTTGTAGCTTCCTGGTACTGGCTGAGTGTTCTGTGGTCTGTGTACGCATGTATGCATTTGCCAGATGAAGGTCAAAACAAAAATATTCATTCTAAGAATGCTAAAGCGGATTTTTTTTCAACAACTCAAGCTGAAAGTAATTTTTTTTTATAGCTACTGTACCTATTTGTCCATTTTCCCACGTTCCTCACTATTAGAAATAATGCTTAGAGCTGTTAATCAGACAACACGTGCAAAGACAGGAAAAGCTAAATCGGCCTTCCTAACACAAAATAAGGGGATATTTGTGGCTGATTATTGCTTTAGTCTTTGAAAAATTTTCATCTTTCCGCGTTTAATCAACCTCACAGTGTTATCACAAACCTTAAATGGGGCTTTAATGCAAATTAAACAACTACTGCTTTCATCATCCAGATATATAGATTAGGGTGATTTGCATATCCACTGCAACCAGTTATACAACAGAGGCTGTCACCTATTTAAATGTGGTTTTTGGAATGTACAGCGTGTGCATTCACACTTGGCTCCATACGAAAGTTACATTTAAATATCACACAATAAAGCTTGTTGGAAAGCTTTTCTTTACAGACACAGAAGCAGTTTCCCCCCGAGCTGAAAGGAAAGTATCGTTATAAAGGTTTCCTTTCAGTTCTGTATTACGGGTTCTCATCTTAGCTCGTAATACAGAACTTGAACTTGAGGTCAAGATCCCCTTTAATCAGTGTAAGCTCATATTCATTACTGGTAATATTTACTGAGAACTGCACATTATGTGAGAGTTGGTTTTCTTTTACTCATTTCCATTTCCACTCATTTTGAAGCAAGAGAAGGCATTTTTTTTAAAGCAACTATGAATGAGATATCACATGTCTGAAAGCATACATTTATACATAGCAAGTGATGATTTAAGCTCAATCCTAGGCACCTTATGCTAAAGGAAAATTATTATCTTATTTGGTTTCTGGTACAGTTTGATTTGCATTAAAGTTTATCAGCAAGTGCGCTCTAAATAAAGCTGGCATTCATACATATGCACATGCCTGCAGCAGCAAACCCATGACGTGGACAAGTGGGGAGATTTTTTAGATTACTTCAGTCTGAAATAGAAAAGAAACAACAGGAAACTGTGCAGAGTTCATGCAAACCTGAGGTGGAAGCAGACAGACGTGCACTGCAATTACAACACAGCCCGACCAAACTGTGGTCTCCATTCACACAACTACTGTGCAATTGCCACGACAAATAGGCCATCAGCCTTCTGCAACCACACAGCCATGGAAGAGGGCAAAGTCAAGCTATTTTAAACACTGCTAAAAACACCGCACAAAGATGGTGCGGTGGCAAGAGATACAGAAAACTAATGCTCATACTTACGGCATTAGACTCAGTTTTCCCCCACTTTTCACACCTTCCCTTTTCTGGACATAGTTGGCTGGGATCGTTCCCTCGCGGCCCGCAGAATTTTTAGCCTTGTACCAGTTTGGATCCTGAAATGCAAAAAGTTTACTGAGCGGCGCCGCATGGCATCAAACACAGAGCCTTGTCTTCATAGAAACGCAGACAACAAAAAAGAAATATTACCTTTGTGACAACAATGATAGTCAACACGTCTCCTTTGTTAAAGGGCAGGTCCTGCTCTGTTGTGCCTTTGAAGTTATACCTGGCCACACACTCTGTGCCCTGAGGCCATGGGTTCTATAAAAGCGAGGGACGGTCACTGTTTTAGTAAAAATCCGTATTTTTTCATTTGTGCTTGCAATTTTTGTCACACACCACCTGGACCTTACCTGGACCTCTGTCATGGTGAGGCGGTTCGATCCTCTCACAGGTGAGGTTTGCTAGCTCCTACCATTAGAGCTGGTAAACACACACACGCGCACGCAGTACCTGTGAAAGCGAGCAGAAGAGTAACTGGGATGTCCCCCTGTTTACTGATACTGACCCAACCGCAAGCAAATTCTCAGGAAGATAATGAATTTGTGGTTTCGCTGTACGGGGGCACATGGTAATTCGAAGCAAGCAGATGAGCCATTATCACAGCACACTGGAGTAACATCAGATCACACAGTGTCAGTAAAAATAACTCGCTCAGACAGAAAGCAGAACTAACAGGTCTTCTTTTTTTAAACACACTTTCACAACTAGTGCATAATGTTTCCATGACGGAGGAAAACAGTGCCAACATAAAGAAGCTCTTTCACTGTAGAATATTTCATACAAAGTAAGAAATGCACTCTGACATGCTAAAGTAAGAGATAAAGAGACCAAAATGCAACCTACTCCCTACTTTGTATTTCATGTGAAAACCTAGCTCGGTCTGACCTAAAATAAGGCACACACTGGTTCTCCATCTTAAACTCAATGACTGGGCCTTGTAGGAATCAAGATAGCTCTCTTCCAACCCTGGAATGCAAACTTGTGGTGAGATCTGACCAGGCCCCAGGGACTCATCCAGCCCAGCATTACTTTATGTCAATAAAGCAGCCACTGTGACACTAACCTTAGGCCTGAGTAACCCCGGGGCCTGTGTTTCCATGATATACACACACACATAAACACACAACCAATCAGAGCAAAGACATCATAGTTAAATGATGACCTACAGATTAAGTTATGCTCCACATCCTCCCTCTCTCTTTCCCCCCAAACACCACTTCCTCTCTTGCTCTATCAGTTCCCAGGAAGAGGTGGCAGGGCTCAAATGGTCAGAGCTCAGGGAAAATCCTGGCTCTGATAAACTGTCACTTTACATGAGGTCACATCCTTTGACATGTCCACTGCAGTGCAGTCAACTTCCTATACGACATCCCAAATTCTGTACACACCAACTTTAGGGTGGGTTGCTTAGAAACGCGATAAATGAAAAAAATGATCCTCTTCTCTTATAACGCTTCTTCCATCTGGTGTGTTTTTCTGTTTAAATAAATAGCCCGCCATTTCTCAGACAAGCGTGTGTCTAAAAACTATCACAAGACTGTCATCACACCGCACCATGGGGATGTGATGGATGTGGTCCCTTATGGAGTAGTGCAGCTGTCTCCTGTATCAAGGGACAAAACTATCTGGACACATTTCCCACACCCTTAAGAACAGCCCCACTCTGCTCACCCCGACCCAGCTCTACTATGTGCAGACAGTCAAAGAAAGGCAAAGATAACCGAGCTGCTGTGGGCCAGTTATTCTTGTGTAGATGTGTTTGTGTGCAGCTGTGGTGTGTGTGTGTGTGTGTGTGTGTTTCTTTTTTATCTTTACAAAGACTTTAAAGACAAACAAATTATTGACACGCACCAAAATGCAAAACCGACGTGAGAAAAAAAATGTCTGTCTGTTCATATGGAAAAATAAGAGAGAAGTCAGAAAAACATGTGATATTTTTAGCCGTGCTGTTGGTGTGGCTATAAAGATCTCACTTTGGTCTGTGGGTCAGCACATCACAGATCTTGACTTGAATGCTTGAACTAACTATTACAAGTGTTGCTGTGAAAATTTGTGTGTGCATTCACAGGGGCTTCGAGATGACTACTATACTCTTTGGGCATTTCATTTCAGCAATCTGGTAATGACCCATGCTTTTACCTTATGTTGCATGATCCTGTGCTCCCCAAACAAATCTCATGCCAAATAAGAACAAACCTCAAAGTCCCTGCTTTGTTAAATAAAAGAAAACAAGCTTTTTACCACCTAAAACTACATTTAGTAAGCTATTGTTTCTGCATCGTTTATTTTGAAAATATTTTAATTTGTCTTATTCTATAATAAGTTTTCAGTATCTTTTAATCTAAATATATACCTATTTTTACATTACTATTATTACGTTTTAACTGTGATAACAAAGAAAATCCCCATCTCTAGGATAAATAAAGGAAACGTTATCTCATCTTAGGACAAAGTGTGAACATCGGGCATTTCCCAAATTTAGACCACCAACACTGGCCAAGAGACATCACAGAGAGTCCAAAAGACAGCGTGTGTTAGCTGCCAATTATAAATGAAACAATGTAACCTAGTCCAATTTTAACAAAGAAAAAAAGAGAGCGAGAAAGAGAGAGAGAATGTAAAGTTGTGTGTTTGTTGTGTCAGGATGTTCAGTATGGAGATCCCAAAAGTGAGGGAGTTGCAAGCACTCTGTTCACAGCCAGAAGTACATTCACTATGATTCAGTTATTATGAAATGTACTTTCTCTGCATTTTATTTTCAGGTAAGCTGTAAAAAATCATAATTTTATAGTCACAAGGTTTTTTATAGAGTGACTGCACATTGAGGCCACTTAACTCCCATTGTGGCCATTGGGACATTTTTACTTATGTTAGTAAAAGTCAGAGCTGTTGTTTAATATTAAATAGTTTTTTTTTGTGAATACATTCAAAGCCAATCCCTACCTGCAGAAGGGAATAATACATTAATATTGTGCATATCATAACTATCATGACCTCTCTAACTAAAGGATAAGCTTACCTAGATTAATAAAGCTAACTATTTTTTCAGAAACGTCTGGTGGTAGACCATCTGTCCATACAGCTGTACCCCATTCAATTTAGGATCTATTTCACTACGACCCCAAAATGAAAAGCCGCTGATTGTAATACAGGGAACATCGGGTGTTCGCCAAAGTCGTCAATGTTGGTGTACTGTAGGCTGTGACTGTTGGAAAAAACTTTTATGACAATGTATCAAACACTTGATGTCACACAGTCCAAACCAAGAGTATGTGGACAGTTACAGGCTTTTCATATTTTGGCTCTGTGCTTCAGCACATTTAATTTTAAATCCAATATTGGACCTGCTAATTCAATTTTTTTCCACTTTTCATCATCAAGCAAGGTAACGATCCTAAATATAAAACCAGATTATCTAAAGGATTGACTGGCCAGGATGATCACCTGATCCCAGGCTGACTGTACTGCATTTTAGGTGTTGAAGACCAGATTAAAGGCAGATAGACACCATACAAGAGATGAAAGTAGCTGGAAGGTTATTGCCAAGCCTCAAAGTATTTTCCCCCCCAAACTGTAATGCATCGTCTTCAAATGTATGAGTTATTCCTAAACACTGAATATTTGGGCGCTGTTAAAAGTAGTTTTTTTTCCACTACAGATTTAAATGGTGGTTTCCAAATCAGCATTTCCAGATCCACAAGGTTATTTTGTGACTGAAACACATCAAAAGTACAATCATCTGAGTTTTACCTCGAAGCAGGACATTATGCTGACGATGCTCTGAAAACCACCAGAAGTTGTGGACTGCAACAGAATATGTGTGAGGGAAACCCTTTGTAAAGAGTCTCGTCAAAAGAAGAATGTATCAACGGGGTCAGCAGCTTTTTTCCCCCCTTTTTTCATATTAATCTCTTCTGGGACGCTGAATGCTTCCCAGCAGCAGGCCACCAGCAGCTGAGTGAACGGGACAGAGCTCATTCTGCCACAGACTCCCACTGCCATTTCCACAGAGCTCTGCATGGAGCCACAGCTTGCTTTTTTTCAGGAAGCAGCAAAGGATCTCATTGTGAGTGAGTCAAATTTCTGCTGACCCCAGTCTCATTAGGTCCAACATCATCATCATCATCAATGCGTCCACTGAGCAGTTTTAAGGGCAGCGATGTGACTTGATCTTTAAATTTTGCTCACTGTTCCGTTTTGTGTTTACTGCTCTACATTAATTGTAGACATAAATCTCATAATTGTGCACATACACAGATATGAGTTGAATGAGTTGAATGAAGGGAGGCGATGGACAACATTAATTCCTAAAAGTAAAAGGAAGCCACAGTCGATTAGTTTAATCATAAAGAGTGACTAATAAATAGTGTTGGACTGTATAACTGCAAAATAAGCTCATACAGCTCTTACATGGTATAATATCGCATGTTCTTGCAGTTTAAAACAATCCTGTTGTCCAAATCAAACCACTGATCAACACTTGTCTCTTGTGCCTTCTTGTGCAAGTCAGTTGCGGTCTTTACTGAACTAATCAGCGGCAGCCTGACTGCACGGAGCAAGACAGGACAAGAATGCAAAAACATCTTCTTTGACCTAAAATCTGCCACTCCCTCATTTACTCACAGACTATAACCGAGGTGAAAATGTTGATTGTGTACGGTGGGAGGCTGGATTAGCTAATTGTTTATTCCCCAGAGCTATCAGAAATAACTCCCTCTTCTTTTAGTCACACATCGAAGACCATGAGATCATAAAATGAGACTGTGGCTCAGGTAGAGTGGGTCTTTGTGTATAAATGGGATGGATCCTGAACCCCCTGTAATAATAGAAAATGCACTGCAGGAAAAAGTATTAAAAACACATGAACGTGGCTTGTATGTAAAGTGTAGAAAAGCACCGCTCAAATTCAAATTATTTAAAGCATTAAAGCCTGTTGATGCCATAATGATACATCATACAGCGTTTAATTCTTAAGATTTTGCAAGATCGTAAAATTGTGTTGTTAACATTAACCTGGTGGTTCATTTCAGTAAATCATCTAATTGATTATTTTACTGCTGGGAACTGTGTCAGTGTCACTAAAGGCTCCTATTGTTTCTCTAAGTGCAGCAGAGGGCCAGCAAGCAGCCTCATGATGCTCTTCAGTTGCTTTGATACTACTGTCCTGTTAGCAACACTGTAACAGCAGCAGGGCAGCAGAGAGAGAAATAAACACTTGACTTTTGTCAACATCCACAGAGCTGCCACCTGGCTGGCACACAGACAGACACATTAAGTGAACAGTAATGAGCACAAAGAGAAGGCTGGTGGGGGTCTATAACAACAGCCAGCAGATGTTCCTGAGAAGGAAGTCACCTCTGCCTTTAGGGGCAGCAGCTGGACTGTGGTGCTTTGGCACAGCTGACTGAAACAAACGTCTGTAGGATCTGAGAGAGGAAGTGCGAGTCCAGTGGTTGGACCTGAAACACAGACCATCATTGTATCACTTTTAATAGCTCAGAGTTTTTCCTGTGACGCTTGAGGGGGGGATTAAAAATTAGGTGTGTACTTAAAATAGTATCCAATTTATCATAAACAAACACAAAAGTGAGAAACAAGGTTGTTTTCAGCGTAGCAGGAAGAAGGATAAGCGATTGTTAATCAGGGGCAATCCCCTGCATTTTGGCCAGCCAGCCATTCTAGTGAACTTTGCATTTTATTGCCATCCAAAGTTCGCATGACGTACCAAACCTCTTCACGCTGGAGAACGTTTGGTCATGTTGACTTCACCAAGGAAACAGCATCAAAAACACCATATAAGTCGAAACTGCCGCGCCTGAACAGCGGATGGACCTTTCCTCGCTGTGGCGCGATCACATGCAGCCTGTTTTATGGGTGCTGTGTGCACAGCGCAGAGTGAAGTGCAGTGCAAGGCTGCTGCTGCTCATGCAGCCAGGCGTGACACATTATAGTGCAGCAGCAAAGCTTTGCTGCGGTTTTACGAACTTCTCTCCATCCTGTTTCAACAGCTTAATCTTTCTTTACAGTTTATCGTACTCTAAAAGAAGAATCTTTGCTGGTCAGGAGATCCGTTGCTGCACCAGCGCACACTTCACACTTTGTCCGAAAAAGGAGGGAAGTCCCGTTTCAGCGAAAAGGGCATCACCCAGAAAACACACCCGAGAGATGCTCTGCTCAGCTAGATCTCTGATAGCGGAAATGCTGTTTTCTGACGTGCATTAATCGCTTTTTGCCATTTTCTGACGGGTGCAGCCTACCCGACGAACATTTAACGGCGCCGCTCTGCAACTTGTAGCATGCACGTGCACGTGAGAGTGCGCCCAGCGTTAACAAAACTTCAAAAAGCTGTCAAAGATCCCAAAGTCCGTGACAGTGGGAATGAATGCTGCTCTCCAGCTCGAGAAAGCAGATTATTATTAGTAACCCAACATGTTATAACACAGCAATGTGGACAGCTGTGCGCTGCAGCTTCTTCTTCACCCCAGGAAGTCAGAGGAAGTGGTAGAAGTTTGAAGGAGGAGGATGTTAGCAGGGCCACGTCTATAATCAACTCACTTAAAAAAATACTTTTTCACTGTGATGTTTGAATAAACTATCCATGCCCATCCGACATCCTAACATTTATCTCCACCAGAGCTGTCAGTCACTGCATCTACTTTAAAATAAACAGCACATTTTAAAATTTAAAGGCAGCTCTGTCTCAAACTTGAAATCTTACCTGTTTGCAGGTGAAAGCAGCCGATTTGAAGCGCTTACAGGTGATTCCGCACGTTTGTTTTTCCTTCTACAGGAGAGCACATTCACGCAATAAATAACCGACAGTCGATGCTGAAGCGCAAAACACATCCAGTCCTGATGAGGAAGAAGTGAAAACTGTCTCAGGTGATCAGAAAACTTGAACGGCACCAAACGAAACTCGACTAAAAAACAATAGACAGCGGCGTTGATGCGTCTCCAGTCAAGACTATTTACAAAACAGACGTATAAATGAAAAAAGACAGCAAAACAAAGTAAACTTCCACAGATGTATCGCCTTTTTTGTGTCGTCCTTCCGTTTAGAGGGAGAAATAAAAAAATCCCGCCACGGCGATAAGTATTACTCAGTAAAATCGCGGTGAGTAATTAAAAAGGATTAAACTTAATTTGAGTCAAGTTCGCTCTGCGCTACTCCTTTTTCCCGTCACATTCAAGTTTTTTTTTTTTTTTGGCCCCACCTTAATTTTGCGCATGCGCGTTGCTGACAACTAAAAATAAGTCCCCACAGGATATGTCTCAGTCAATTCGGTGAAGGAATTTGATCATCGATGAGGCAATAATAACAAGAAACAAAGATACAGGGACAGCGTGGGTGCAGTTGTTTTCATTTAATTGGTTCAACCTGCAGATGTGACATATTAAGACTGAGCAGCACTTTGCACATGAGGCTTCAAATGGAACTCACCAAAAAAACAAATCCTGTGTTGCAAAGTTACGTGTCTATATATTTCTCGAGTTAATATGCATGTCTGCTCTTAACACTTAAGACATATAAATGATTAAAAAGAAAAGAAAAATGGGGGTGCAGGGAGAGGAGGGAATCCCCATCTGCTGCAAAAAAAAAAAAAGACTTGCACAAACATATTTCCTGTAAAAAGTCAGACTGATCCAAGTTCTTCGACTGTTCACATTTTATTGATATACAATCCTTTCTTTGTTGCCGTTGATCAGAAAATAGTGTTAAGTACACAAAGTTGTCATTACAGCAGAACAAAAGGGAACCACCATAAATCTTTTATTTACTGCCCCCTAGTGGCCAAAGACGAACTAAACTCATTTTATTCACATTCAGCAACGCTGGCTGATGACGTTTCCAAGCCAGACTTGTCTCAACAGATGTGACATAACACGCGCAGTCAGAGGAATGTTAGCGAAAGGACAAAATCCTTAAGTATGAAAGTAACTTTCGGCAAATCGGTACATGAAGTCTGTGCAGATTCATTTACACAAAAGAAACAATTACAATGACTTTGAAAAAAAAAAATCCTCAGATGGTGTGGACTGCTTAAATTTAGCCTTTCTTACACCAATTTCAAAGAATACACAATACAACTCCAAATAAGGGCATGTTAGAGAACAGCTATGCAGATCCGACACAGATTGTAATACACTTCTGGACACATTTCAAATCAATGTGGTATTTCACAAGCAGCAAATGGTTACATTCATTGCTTGAAAGATCTGAGTAGACATGCCTCCATCAAGGCAACAAAGGGGAAAAAAAGCAGCTGCACGTGAACTTCACAGTTTGTGATTTAGTGGATTGTTAAATATCAGCTTAATGTCCTGAAATAAAAGCGTGGACACAAGAAACAAGAATATTTTGTGATTTCCACGATTGCCCAATCCTGGAGTTCTTTTTTAAGCCAATTTTATTGGTTCCTAGAAAGTATTCAAGTGCAGGATGCTGCATCAGCACAAATTAATTGAAATACATTTGAATCCCACCACACAGAAAGTAACATTTGGTTAAAAAAAAAAAAAAAAAAAATCATCACTCCAACCTGTTCAGTCGGACTTATTTTACCCAAAGTGTTACTTATAATTGTGTCACTTCGGGCTCCTCTTTGACAGACTTCTATTAACTTCTGCATATGAAACATGCAATACTGCAAAAACTTGCCCAAGTTGTGCAATCGCTTTGACCTCATCAAGTATGCACCAGTTTTGATTGTGTAAAGCAAAGTTGGCTTTTGAATCCAATCTGTACTACCAAGCTAAACAGGCAATAGCAACCCAACATTGCCAAGAATTAGCAGACTTGAATGTTCACTGTGAGAGAATATGGTATCAGTACTTAGTCTGCAGTCTACTGAATATTTTCTCCATAATACAGTAATGGCTGAAAGACAACAGACGCTGTATGAAAAATATATTTAACAAATCTAAACTCTAGTTGGCATTCGATGAGGCAATAAAGATTTTGCATGAATTGTACAAATAGAACTTTGGGCCTTTCAAACAACAGTAAAGCCCTTCATCCCATAACTGTACCAAAGTTTAATAAACTTATTTCCCCTTAAATTATCATGAAAAGGTACGACTGCAGCTATCTTACATGCCATGTCTTGTTTCCAGAGCCCTTATCATCACAATACAATTTGCAGAAGAAACAAAAAAGCTGTTGTAATCTGCTGCTCTTGTATTTGAACACATTGTTATATTTAGGACAAATATTACAAGCTTAATTCCCACCAAAGCATTACATAACAGTGACAGAATGTGGCAAAGTACTGCAGGCAGCAATGGAAAGACCAGCGCAAGCTTAACTGTAAGCCGTCAGATCCCAATACGTGTGAAAACTGTTCATGCGTGTAAACCGAGATGGATCTGCGTCTAATCACTGGAGTGCTTTGAAAGAAAGTTAGATTGCCATGACTTTCAGAACTTTCCTGTTTTAAATCAGTGATTGTCCTACTCACTTTAAATCTGAACATTAAAGCCCCCTACAGCCATTAAGCTGTCAGCATCTTAATGTGTCAACTTCATGTCTGAACAAGCACACAGTCACACACTCATAAAAGTCCCTGCGGCAATCTAAAACAGACTAACATTTACATATCATACTTTCAACATGGCGCAAGTCTGAATGTATGCAGTTGTTATAACAGACAAGTGTGAAGAGGATTATGACTGCACGTCTCATGCCTTTTGAGAGCTCACAAAAGATAGCCCTAAACAGCAAAAACATGACGTAACATTTTATGCCACTGACACTGCATGTATTGTACAATAAGATGAAGCCTATAGTACACTTTTAGATTTTCACAATCCAGAACCAGGAGCTCTGAGTATGTGTGAGGGCTAAAGCAGACGCTCTTCTCTGCAGCACATACACAAAGACAACCAGATGCTGTGTTCTTCGTGACTACAGCACGGAGAACTAAATGTGGTTAGACTTTGTTTGACACAACGCTGACAATGATCTTTGCCACAAGTGCTGTGCACATATTGCAGATATGGCGTGCATGACACCATATTTATGTTTGAACTGACAGCAAGAGAAACTTTAACATAAAAAGTCGAAGAAACCTGCACTGTTCTCCTGTATTCCCTCTTTGAAACGGCTCTAATGTTGCATTCTTTGACACTTTGGTTATCATTATGAATTAACAAGACTTATTAGCAATCTTATTAAACTGCTTGCTATACCCTCCAAAAGTCTGTATTTTCAGAAATGCTTACATTTTTCCCCTATCTATATGCACTTAATCCTACTACGCTACTGTAAGATGCATCACCACTGGTCCTTCAGTATGAGGAAAAAGATCTGTTTGCACACGCCGAGTTAGAAATTTCACAGATAAACTGGAAAAACAGATCTAACTCCGGAATATAAGGCGCCAAAACCCAAACGGTCATGGAAGGTAAAAGATTTAATCTGTCAACATGACGTGAGATGTCGACCATCTGACCCGTTATGCCGAGTGCAAGGGGATGACAAATTTGCAGCCAAAGGGAGAATGGTATTTGATTCCCACTTCCTGGAACACCTGGCGAGGAATTCCTATGTCACACAGGTAGACCCTGCCAGCCCCTTCAGCTAAGGGGAGTGGAAGGCAAAGTGAGAGGGACCATTTGGCTTCAACTGCCTGCCCCTGGCCGCCTGCAGGGGGATCTAAGCTTAGCACTGGTGCTCTGTTCTGATTCGCCCAGTCTGCAGCTGCCCAGTACCAAGGCTGATCCATCAGGAATGTGTTCTCATGACAGTCCAGACAGTTAATGATTAGATCCACAGGGGTGTCAGGGAGGTCTGTGGAGCCACAGAGGAAAAAAGAAGAATGTCAAGGTATTTAGCAACGCTTTTGTTTTTAATAAAGCCAACAGTATTTGGAGGGGGAGAGATCAATAAAGCCACAAAACAAACCTACCTTTGATACTGGACACCTGTTTGCCACCAGTTTTGTTGAAGAGGGTGACCTCGCTGGTCACGGCGTCATGCATTTTGACAAAGTTTGGCAGAAACAGGACGACCTCCACTTCGTGATTGGCCAGGTGGCGACCGCAGCTGATGCCCTGAGCTCCCTGAACATGAGGGCCACACAGCAGTGCCACCGTGGGATGCTGGTGCAAATTTTTTGGGGTGAATCTGAAAGAAGTAGGAATAGGCAAAGGTTTTATTTAGTACTTTAGAAGAACAAAATGACTAGGTTAATTCGTGTTGATGCGACAAATATGAAATACATAGAAACAAGAGAGAAACTTAGAAAAAAATAAGTACTCTGAGAGCACAAACCTCGACCAAAGCAGCTCACTCTCTGGGGAGTATTTACTTTCCAGGGAATAGTATTGCATTTTGTATATATTCATTTTGTGGTTTTTACAGCTGTTTTCACAGAACTAAAAACTTCTTAAAGTATATTTAAAAAGAACAAAGTGAAACAGAAACCCATTTTAATATACTTGACATAACTGATGATTTTTAGTAATACATTCTTTAAAACATCACATATTTTGAAAAGTGACCTCAGGGGTCAAATGTGACATATGTGGATGCAAACTATAATGTGATATTTAGAATCCCCATATATTAGTATCATTTCCTAAATGTTGCCAGTTCAACACAGGCACATTTTAGATAATTGCTTACCTGTTTGGTCCCCCTAGTAATGTAAGTGCCATCTGACTGGCACACACTCCAGTCATTTCCAGTCTCCTCTCCAGTGACAGACCATGGCGCTCAGCAACAGACAACAGACGCTTGTGCAGTTCGTAGGTTATACTTGGTACAACAAGTCCAGAGTCTGTGGAAAGTAAAGCAAACATCAATAAGGCTTAAATTGATTTACCTGCATCTCCACTTCATTCATTCCAATATAAAACACTTGCCGGTGCAGTATTCTTTGGCCCCAGGCTGCGGTACAGTAATCTGTCTGTACACAACAGGTTTGGCCTCCAGGATGTTCTCATCATGCCGGTACCGAGTAGGAGTCTGCTCCTGAGGTGTGCCGCGTGACCTCGCACCATTACGACGCTCCGATATATCAATCTCTGAGAAAACTGCTGCTTTGTCAAAAAGAGCCAGGTTTCCTTCAAAATCAAAGTCTGTGTCCAGGAAATCTTCCACGCCGTCGCCAAAACACTCATCATCTCTCTGCTTCATCTGGCCATTCTTTACCCCATTCTTCTTCGGCGTCACTTGATTTACCCCTCGATTACTGGCTGACCCTGAGGGGATGATATATATATATATATATATATATAGTTAACCACTTTGCCACAGATTAATATTTTAATTCATTTTTAGTGAATTTAACAGCATTGCACTTACAGGAGTTATGTCTTCGACGGAATCCTTTAGGCTGGCCAGGTATGTCCAGATGACGCTCTCCATAACTTTTAGAGCAGTGCTGTGGAGAGTTCAGTTTCTCCACAGATCTAGGGTCACCCTTTGGGACTGCAACCGGTGCGCTGGTTACCTTTGCAGGTGCAGCAGAGGTAGTCCGACTATTATCATATCTAAAATCTAAAATCTTTAGGTCTTTTATGTCAATGGCACTGGAAAAAAATAAGAGTCAGAATGACGTTAAATAACAAAACCGATGAGCTAAAAAGTTGACAATGAGCTAACATTTAGTAGCATAGACTTACCTGAATGTGACCTCTGGCACGGGACACTTGACTCCATTGTGGAAAGGCTGTCTTAAGGAGATGGTTTGGCTGGACTGGTCCACAGATGATACTTCTCCCTGGTAGACTCCCAGCGTTGGTCCACAGTTAATTGACACCAAACTACCCAACCAATCCGCGGCCATTTCTGCAGCACGTGTTATTAAGAAAGAAAATATTAATTATGTAGCATTACTTGTCAGAGAAGCTTTCTAGAGACAGGGATCATCCTGTTAGCTAACTTTGTGATCAGGACATCAGAAATACTAGTCGTTCGGTTTTACTAGAGTCGTGACTAGCTTAGCCACGGCCTGCTATCAACCTTAGCTAAGTTTATATGAAGGTAATATCGCCTTGAAAAAAAATTGTTTACCTTTTTGGAGTTACGGTGATGAAGAGCCCCCTGAACAATACAACTCAATAAACTGCGATATTAAGTGCTCATAAAAAAAACTGTTTCTTCTTCAACTATTAGCTTCTTAGCTTTTTGAATGGAGCAAGCTTTCACGGTTTATACCACTTCCTGTTTCCGGAAGAAGTACCTTTTCGAAATAAGAGCCGAAGCTTAACAAATTTTTACCAGACAGCTGGAAATCTGTGGTGAAGCTTGTGCCCCCC